AACCAGTGACAGTCAACCTGCTGGCCTGCTACTGGCAACATGATATATAGGAACATGCTTTAATCCTTTTAATTCAGTTAGAATGCAGAGCACACATGATTACCTTTTGTAGACTTGCATTCAAAATTAAAATGAAACTCATTATTATCGACTTTATTGAACAACTTTGGTATAAAAATGTAAATAATAAATGTAATTTTTATGTTACATTTAATGTCTTAATTTACTAAGAAGATAATTAAATAAAATCTTAAACTCACCATATGTGACATAAGTTCTCTAAATCTACTGTTTTTGAAGTACAAAGTCTAACATAAATTGATAATATTATACTATGAATATTCCCATGAGAAATATAATTTTCCCAGGCCTGAATATTGTTTGTCTATGGAATTACCAATTACAAAGTAAGATGCATTTGTCATTTCAAAATTAACCAATAAATTATTTTGATGTTTTACATCATCTAATTTATATCCAATAGAAAGAAGGTTTTAATCTATGAATGAGGTATAAAATCTTGTTGTTTTTTCTTGCTATTATGTAAAAGCTCACTCTGTTTGAAAATTTCTGTAGAGCTGTTCAGTTAGAAACTTGGTTAAATTATAACAGTTAAAGGATATTGTTGACTTGTTGCATGTTATTATTCTGTGATCTTAGGTGCATTTTAAGTAAATAATAAATATTTAGTGTACCAAAAGCATGATTGTAAAAGTTTATGGCAGAAATTTCACTGAAGACTGACACTGAATGTTTGCAAGCCTGTGAATTATGTAATTAAATACAGTAGATTGAGCTAAGCAACTCAGGGAGGAAGAGGTCTTCATAGAACCTGACCCTCCCAGTTCACATAAACACAACTAAACACCAATCAAATCAATTAGCACCAAGTACTCACCAAGTGTTTTAGTTGTACCTGGTTCAAAAGTGTGATAAAACAATAAAATTAAGTCGAAAAAATATATAAAATGTTACAATATGCAGTCATTCTAGAAAGAAAAATTGGGTAATTTAGAGTTATTTCATATTTTTCATGGTGGTTACAAGGTTGGTAAAATCTTAAAGGTAACATTTTATGAGAACGTTACGTCACGTGAAACCCAGGAAATGTAATCCTTTGCTACTCTCATGACTTTCATAATGAAATAAAACTTTAAATTGGACAACTATCACATTTATTTTATATTATAATGGTTTACCGTAATATTCTATGTTAATATCGATCAAAAGCAAGTTTGTATAGCTAAAAAAAGTACGATGACATGGGTTAGACTACTTTACTTGGAGCCGGAATGAACGATAGTATTACGACCACCAAATTAGAGGTTTATTCAAATAAAATATGTGTTGGAAAATCTCAATGCTGGGATACAACACCAAGATCTATCTTGGTCAACTTTTGATAAGTACACATGTAATCAACAAGTATTTCTACATACTTTGGGAAGGTTGTATATGGAGTGAATTAAATGATGTAATAGTGTAGTGTAGTAGTCATAGTATTTTCTTATACACTGTGCCTTTGTCTTCTGACTAACGTTGGTTGTGGCAGCGTATATTTTAACTATTGGCAATGAATGATAATATTTATTACTTATATTTTACCTTCACTCTCTTCTGGGCCATGGGGATTTCTCCCCGGTATCTCTGATCTCTTGTGAGCCTGCACACACTCACATACATGCACGCACAATTTAAAAAAAGTGAGAGGAAGTTCTGCATTTTCATAATTTTTAAATTTCAGCCTCCTTGTTCACATCTTTGTGGCCAGTGAACACCTTTTTTCTTTGTCAGAATTTTAATTGTTTTTCAAAAACTATCAGATTCACATTTATCTCATTTATTTTTACATTGATATTTAAACCTTATAAAACAGATACAAATATAATGTCATAGAGAGTATTATATGAGAGAATAACTAGCCATGCTAATATTTTATCTTCTCAGGAGACTACTGAAATTTTTTTAGAATACAAATTTTAATTTTATACACTTGGCATTCTTTTATTATAGATATATATTATTTTCCCCAAAACTGTCATGTATTGAGAAGCTGGAAGGAAAATTCTTTTAAAACTTTTTGATAGGAAAAACTTGTACCATTTGATTTGAGTAATTTAAAGAACTTACCAGGAGATTTAACAACTTGCATATCGATTGTTTCAAAATTATACAGCTTCAAACACTTTAGAATTCAGGCAAGTTAGAGGTGTATTTTACCACAAGTATAAGATGTAAGACAACACCTAAAAAAGGAAGCACCATATGTGAAACCAAGTTTCTGATGCATTGACACTTTTAATGATTTACTACTTTTGATTTGAACAGGAATTCGACAAACTCTGGTCAGATGCTTACATACCGGAGAAATCTTCCCTAAGGTAAGCAAGTATTGACAGTTCTTTAAATGGTAGGATAATTTTTACACTATAATGAGACCACAAAAAAATTACACTATCTTTTAAGAAAAAGCTAGAACTACATATATTCACTGTGGTAAAAGAGAGCCAAATATGTTACCAATTGTGAAATAGTTAGGGCTAAGTGTGTTTTTTATGGTAAAAAATCTTGGACTAAATATGTTTTATCTGGTAAAAATGCTATATCTATTCAGTATCATAGGAGTACGTATGTTACCTCTGGTAAGAAATCTATAACTAATTACGTTATCTATGATAAAAAAACAAGGATTAAGTACATTACCTGTGGTAAAAAGCTAAGACTAAATGTGTTTTCTATGGTAAGAAAGTTAGGTCTAAGTATGCTATCTCTGGTAAAACAAAAATAGACCTAAGTATTCTCTCTCTCTGGTAAAAAAATAAGACTAATTATGGTTTCTTTGATAAAAAATACAGGACTAAGTACTTTCTGTAAAAAATCCAGGACTAGATATCTTCACTCATTGGCGAGTAAGCTAAAAGTAAGAATGCTTTTTAGTGGAAAAGCTGAGGATATGAATACTCTCTCTGGTGAAAAAGCTAGGACTGAATATTTTCTCTGTTATTATGGAATGCAATGGTAAAAAACTCAGGACTAAGTATGTTATTTCTGGTAAAAAAAGTCCAGGACTAAGTGTGTTATCTCTGATATTCCATAGGGTCAGGACTAAATGTGCTATATGGTTAAAAAACACCAAGACTTGGTATGTTATCACTAAGAAAATGAATGAAGACTGTGTTATCTTTGGTAAAAAATAGCCATGGCTAAGACGTGCTTTATGGTAAAAAAAAATAGTACTATATATGTTATCCATGGTAAAAGAAAACCAGGACTAGGTATTTTTTGTTCTGATAAAAAAAATCCAGTTCTAAATAAGAATTCTTTCATAAAATAACCAGGACTATGAAAGCTCTCTATAGGAAAAAGTAGTCAAAACTAAATCTATTCATTTCGACAAAGAATTAATGATTAAGGGTATTTTTTGGAGAGTTAACTTTATAGCAGATGATTGAAATTATAGACTTATTAGTACTGTTTTGTTAAATATGTTATAACAAGATGGGTGCACTACATATCAGTACAACTAAAATGATGACAAAAACTTTGTTTATCCCGTTTTGATTTTGATTCACTATAGTTTGAAAATTGAAATGTTTTTAAAGACTTGTTGAGAGTTTCATCAAATATGGAGTTTTTGGGGGGCAATTTTATCTACTTACCTTAGTTTACCAATGTCTGTTGCAAAATAGGAATATATCCTCTGAATCCAGCTCTTCAATAAAACTTCTTACCTTTGACCAATTACCACCAACACAAGTCTTGCTATATCTCATTCCAACAATAAAACTAGTGGATGAAACTGTTTGAAACTTCATAAGAACTTTAAGAAACATAAAGTCTGTTACTTTTGATAAATTTAGTTTTTTTTGCATTATCATCTTTAATATCTTGGAAAATTACATTAGGAAATGGTATTTATAAGAAATGATTACAATATTTATATTTGTTCCAGATTTGAACTTATTACTTGTTATGTTTTAGTACAATATTTTGAAATCCCCCCAAAATTGTATCGTCAATAAAATGCAAATTTTATCTATTTTTAATTTTTTTAATAATCAGTTACTCCCCTTATGGTTTCAAGTAATAAACAAGACCCAAAAATAATATTTATGAATAAACCTAAACAATAAATGAGTA